AAAAAAACAAAAAGGGAAAAAAAAAAAAAAAAAAAAAAAGATATCTATGTCTGCCAGGTAGAGAATAGACTATCAAGGCTCAAGAATGAAGCAAGAAGAATTAGGAGCGGTGTAAAATTCCAAAGGAGAACTAACAACTGCTTGGACTAGGGTGGTAGAGGGGTGGGTTGAGAGAAGTTGTCTGATTCTGGAAGGTAGAGCTACCAGGAAAAGGGAAGAAGATAATCAGGTGCTGGGATCTAGAAGACATAACTAGAATAGAAGAGCAGGAGAATCCAAACCAAATACAAGGGACTCCTGAGCCCAGCTTTTTACCACGCTGGTGTGTGGACATCCAAGTGATATTATTCAAGGGTGAAAGGCTCAGGTGGCAGCAACATTTTCAGGTGATAGTGGTTCTTGGAGTCAGTTTGCTCACTTATTAACTCATTGATTAACTCATTCAACAAATATTTCTTGAGGCTTTCTCTGTGTCAGGAAAGCTTTGTGGTACTGATACAGAAATGAATTAGATTGAGCTCCTCCTCTCAAAGAGCACAGAGTCCAAAGAGGAAGACATATACTTGTCTAAGCAGACAATCCCAGTACAGGGTGGTAAGTCTATAATAGAGGTAACGGGACAGTCTAGGTGCACAGATGGTTGTTTAAGGAAGACTGGAGAGTTAGGGAGGGTTTTCTGGAGGAGAGGATGCTTAAGCAGAGTCTGGACAAATGAATAGGCAGAAAAAGGGAGATTGGCATTCTAAACGAAAGGACTGCACTTGTATATTTATTAATACTGAAAATACGTACTAAATGAGGCTGGATGTGTGGCTGAAAGAAGCTAAGTTCTCTGAGGGCTGAGTGTTACTTTTTTTTGTCTGTGGTGTTCACTGCTGGGTACCCTGGCACATCACAGACATTCTCATGTTCATGGGGTGAATGAAAGGGACTTGGCCTTTACCCTGAGAACATTTATCCTGAGGGCATTGGGTACCCATGGAATGTTCCTGCACAGTAGAAGAGTACTTTTGAGATTTTCTTGGATTGGGATGGAAGACAGACTGACTAGGGAGAAGATGAGAAAGGATGAGATGAGATGAGAAAGGATGAAGCAGGAGATCACAGTTGCAATAGAATATTTTAAAGATGCTAAGGTTGGGCTGGCCTTGCCCCCAAGGCTGTGTAAGGCATGACTGCACCTCCCACACTCTTGTGGCCCATCCCCAGGTTCCTTTCAGAACTGGCGATCCTGTTGGGACACCCCATCTCCCTCCTGTATCGTTGGCTGTGGTGCTGTCTTTGTCCATTTGTGCTGCTAATCATGTTTGTGACTGAAATAAAAACGGCTGGGACCTGGACTGACAGTTCACCAGAGAAGTTCCGCTTTATTCAAGGACTGCGCGTATATTTATAGGGAGCTGCGTTCCGGGTTTGGATAGGGGTGGACGGGGCCGTAGCTGATTGGACGGGGCTGGGTGGGAGGTGAGCCTTGACCTGTGACTGGCTGAGGTTTGGCGCCGGCGGGCTTGTTTACTGCGGAGAAGAACCCGGAAGGGCGCCATATTGCCAGGGAGTGCCCCCTGCTTGAGTGCCTACGGTATCCCTACAGTGACCATTCTGGTTTACGTTTGTATGAAGACCTTCACCTCTGTGGCGTGGGAGTCAAGCAGTGTGAGCCTCCCTGCCTAGAACTCCTTAGGGAGTGGGGATCAGACCTTTCAATCCACCCTTGGCCAGAGGACACAGTCATCTCATTCTCTGACTCCCTGAAGACTCATTAATTCTCTGCCCTGGTTACCCTCCTACCCTTCCCCTCCACAAGTCTTTTCTCCTGGGAAATTTGATATTCTGAATGTTTTTCTGATTTCTCTACAAAAGAGGTGCTCTGACAATACCCATCATGGACAGTACTCTTTTTCACTGAATCAAAAAATAGACCTTTTAAAGGCTCCTTTTTTTTTTTTTCCTTTTTGTCTTTTTTTGTGTCCAGCAATGGACCGCAACCCTCAGTGTCGTGCCCGCACTGGACCGGGACCGGCAATGGGACCACAACCCTCGGTGCTGCACCCGCCCCTCGCTCAGCCAGTGAGCGGGAACCGGTCTGATGTGGAATCCGAACCGTCGGCGGGAGTGCTGCCTCGCTCCCAAGCGGCGCACCTATCCAGTGCGCCACCGGGCCGGCCCGTGGACACTACTCTTGATGATTGCCCTTTTCATTATTGTCATCCTCCCTGTCCCTACCTACTTTGTATACTGCCTCACCCATGGGATTCCCTTAAGGCCCAAGAATGGGGATGGACCTATCCAAATCCCTAAGTGACCAGTAATGCCCAGTAAAGGAGTCCAAAAGGAGAAAATTCTACAAGATGATAAAACAAAGTGTTTGTCAACCTGTCACGTGACTTCCTAACTTCATTCATTTTGCCTGACATCACCCATCCCTCAAAACAGATCAAACAGACAACTCTTAATATCAACTTGCCACTATTGATATCCGTGGGTCCAGAATCACTTTTATTCCTAAAGGGAGAGGCATTATTTGGGGGGCTCATGGGGCCTGGCTTTGCAGCCCCCTCCTGGGCCCTGTCTTCCTGGGTTACTACGGTCATTGTGTTTTCCCCATACGCTTCCTTACACACACATGCACAATTCACATACACTATTGGCCACACCTACAAGCCTGCTGTTTTTGGCATGCCTGTCTATTGGCGTAGAGCTGGAGGAGTGATGCTGTTGGTCAATAAGTCAGTCCACTGGAACTGCAAGCACTGGGTCTGAGCAGGTCTTTTTTTTTTTTTTTTTTTTTTTTCCTATAGATGTCTCAGGTGTTCAGTTTTCCCCTCACAAGGCTTCCATTTTTTCTAGAGCCAAATATCTAGCCCTGAGTTCCTGCCCTCCTCTTGTCCTGGTAAATTCAGACACTAGAGTAGGACTGGCCTTTAGCCCAGTGTGAAGTCTGGGAAATGACGGATTCAACAAAGATGGAAAAGATATTGATGTGCTTGCTACTGAGATATGGTAATCCTATCATAAATCTAAAAATTATTTTTAGAAAGAGATCGCAAAACTGCAATGGAGGTACCAACACTGTGTTGTAGACTAAGTGCATCTGCAAATCAGTGCTCTACCAGTTTGTGGAACTACGAAGCTGTGTCTCTGAGCCCACCAAGGGTCCCATTGCTGCTTAGTAAGAGACATCACTGGTTTTATCATGGGGTTAAATCAAACGAATTTGTCCAGCGAATGATAACTGAATTGGTTTCTTGAAACTCGTCTGAGGGCTGCTCCATGACTGAGCTGTAGTACTTCCCAAGAAGAGATGGGGGCCAGTCCGTTAGCGACTGGGGATGAGGGCTGCGGATAGTGATGGTTGGGATTCCAAAGTTCCAGGGAACGGGTTTCGCCTAAATGCTCAGAGATCCCAGGATTTGGGATTCCTCAGGGCCCACGGTTAAGTTTCTTTGATAAAGGAAGGAAAAGAAACACCCCAACCATGGGTGGGTGGGACTCGAGGGGTGGGTCTGGTGGGTGGATAAGGTAGAGGCGTCGGAAGTCTCTGGACCTTTGAAGTCCCACACTCCTCCAGCTCCAAGATAGGAGGACTGGAGGGGGCGTGGACCTCATCGCTCATTGGCTCCTGTACCCTTGTAGCCCCGCCCTCTCACACTAGCTTCTCTCCCACCCGAATCAAACCATCTGTCACCTCGAAGACTCAGTCGGGTAAGGTGGGGATGGGAGAGAGAAGGCGGTGGCCTTCTCCATGTGAGGGAGTCCCCAACGTACTTCCTTTTGGGAGCTCTGGCGCTCGTCCTCCTTTCTGTCCCCCCAATTCCAGCTTTGGGGATGTAACCTGTGGGGGCGAGGGGGAGGGATTGGAAAGTAGGGGCTTACCAGATAAACTGGAAGTGTCTCCTCCTCCCACCCTAATTTTTATCTCCTCTGGGTCACTTGTCGGAACCTAACCACAAGGTTGTTTGAACTGAGAATATCCTACATTGCTGTAGGGGGTACTGATTGAGCAACAGGAAAACCGATTTCTATTGTAGGAATTTCTCCGCATAGCTCTGGGATCTCTGTTTTCTAAAGTCGGGTTTCTTAGCACCCTGGGATGTAATCAGAGTATTTTCCTCTGGACTGCTCTTGGGAATCTCTGGCCTTGTTCAACGCAATGGAGCCGAGTCCTTGGTGAGGCACCATTACACGTCTTCACTTTTACTCCTCACAAGAATGGCGTGAGATATAGCTACGGTCATTCTCAGTTTTCATGAAGAGACCTGGAAGAAAGGGGTTCACACAGGGAGTCAGGGGTAGTCTGAAAAAGACTGTCTTTTGTCTTCCAGTCCTTTTGTTTTAGAAATTTTCAAATACTTACAAAAGAATAACATAATGAACTGCTATGTGCCCATCATCCAGCTTCAGTAATGACCAACTCATGACCAATCTGGTTTCATCTTTCCTCCCCCCACTCTCGCCTCCCCATTATTTTAATGCGATTCCCAAATTTATCACTTCATCTGTAGATGAGTCAGGTATCTAAAAAATTAAGAATCCCATTTTTTAAAAGCCCACAAGACTATTATCATACCTAAAACAAATAATATTTGGTGTCATCAAAGATGCACTCAGTATTCAGATTTTCCTGGTTGTCTCATAACATTTTTTTCTGGTAGCTTTATCTTTTTTTAACAGCTTTATTGAAATACAGTTCGCATGTAAACGTGTGTAATTCACTTAAAGTGTATAATTCAATGGCTTTAGTATATTCACAGAGTTGTGCATTCCTCACTACAGTTAATTTTAGTACATTTTCATTACCCCCAAAAGACGCCACACCTCCCAGCCATCACCTCCTTACCTCCCCAGCTTTAAGCAACCAGTAATCTCCTTTCTGTCTCTATGTAGATTTGCCTATTCCAGACATTTCATATAAATGAATTCATATAATATGTGGTCTTTTGTGACTGGCTTCTCATACTTAGTATCATGTTTTCAAGATTCATCCACGTTGTAGCCTGTATCAGTACTTCATTTCTTTTTATTGCTGAGTAATATTCCATGATATGGATATACCTGCACATTTTATATATCCATTCATCAGCTGATGGACATTATGTGTTGTTTTCACTTTGTCGCTGTTATGAATAATGTTGCTATGAACATTCATGTAAAAGTTTTTGTATGGACATTTGTTTTTATTTCTCTCGGGTATATACCTAAGAGTGGAATTGCTAGTTCATATATAGTAACTCTATGTTTAACTCTATGTTTGAGAAACGTCTCATATTTTTTAAGGTTTGTTTGAATCAGCATCCAAATAAAATTCAGATGTTGCAATTTGTTGCTATATCTCTTATGACTTTAATCTATTAGGGTAGTTTCTTTTTTTTTTTTTTTTTTTGTCTTTTTTCGTGACTGGCAACGGATCGCAACCCTCAGTGTCGCGCCCATACCAGACCGGGACCGGCAACGGGATCGCAACCCTCGGTGTTGCCCCCACCCCCCGCTCAGCCAGTGAGCGGCCGGTCTGTATGTGGGATCCGACCCCTCGGCGGGAGCACCACCGCGCTTCCCAAGCAGCGCACTGTAGCAGTGCGCCACCGGGCCGGCCCTATTAGGGTAGTTTCTCTCTTTTTTTCCTGTGCAACGTATTGATAAAACTGGGTTATTTTTCTATAGAATTCCCAACTGTCTGGATTTTGCTGCTTGCCTCCCTGTGGTATTGTTTAACATACTCTTCTGTCCCTTGTATTTCTCATAAATTGGTGATTAAGTAGAGAAGTTGATTAGTTTTAGATTCAATATTCTAGCAAGAATACTTCATGAATGGTTTTATGTATTTCTGTCGGGAGACAAAAAATGTCTGGTTGTTTGTTTGTGATGTTAGAAGCCACTGATGATCCTTGTGTAGACCTGTATATTTATTAGACTTTATGAAGTGGTGGCATGCTAAGCTCATCATTCCTCTCTCTCTCTCTCTCTTTTTTTTAGATGAAATACTTCTAGAAAGAGAAACTTCTTATCAGACGTTTGTAACCCCCTGGCATACAGTCCATACAGGAAAGTTACCAGTTTAAAAAATGAGTTTGTTGCCTAATATCCAAATGTGATCGTTGAGAGTTTTTCTTTTTAGCATCTTTATGAACTCACAGATTTAAGTATATTTGATGTGTTTAGGTCCATTGCAGCTGTTTCTATTGATGCTCAAATCATCTTATCTTTGGCTTCTAGGAGTCTCTTCAAGTTTACTCCTAAGTCCTTTTCACAAGACCATGGTAGTCTTTAATAACTTCCATGCTTTCTTTCTTTTTTTTTTTTAAAAAAAATAAAAGATGATGGGTAAGGGGATCTTAACCCTTGGCTTGGTGTTGTCAGCACCACACTCAACCAGTGAGCTAACCGGCCATCCCTGTATAGGATCCAAACCCGTGGCCTTGGTGTTATCAGCCCCGCACTCTCCTGAGTGAGCCACGGGCCAGCCCTCTTCCATGCTTTCTGATATGACTGTATGGACCAGGATTAACTTGTACATTCTGTGACCCAGGTCTGACATCAGTGGTTTTGCCAGGAATATATATATCCATCTATTTTCATTGTGGTTTTAATTTACGTTTTCTTGCTGACTAATGAAGTTGAGCATTTTGTCATATGTTTATTGACTATTTGTATGTCTTCCTTAGAAGTGTGCCTATTCAAGCTTTCTGTTCCCTCCCCTTTACTTTTTCTTATTTAGTTGTAGGTGTTTCTTTTTTATAAACCTATTTTTGGAAACAGCCTCTTTTTTGATTATATATTATATTAGTTTCCTATTGCTGCTGCAACAAATGATCACAAGCTTAGTGGCTTAAAACAACATGAATTTATTATCTTACAGTTCTGGAGTTTAGCAATCTGAAATCAGTTTCAGTGGGTGAAATCAAGGTGTTGGCAGGCCTGCATTCCTTAGGTAGGATCTAGGGGAAAATCCATTTTCTAGAGTTTTTTAGTTTTCAGGAGCCATCAGCATTCTTTAGATCGTGGCTCCTTCCTCTATATTCACCACTCTAACTTCTGCTTCTGCCATCCCTGTCAGCACCATGCTCTCCCAAGTGAGCTAACCGGCCATCCCTATGTAGGGATCTGAACCTGCGGCCTTGTGTTATCAGCACCACACTCTCCCGAGTGAGCCACGTGCTGGCTCTACACCCTCCTTCACTTATAAGGACGCTGTAATTACATTGGTTCCATCCAGATAATCCAGGATATTTCCATCATTTCAAGACCATAACTTAACCACATTGCAAAGTCACTTTTGCTATGTAAGGTAACATATTCACAGCTTCTGGGGGTTAGGGTGTGGACATCTTGTCAGGGATTCAGTGAGGGGTGGCTTATTCTCTCTACCATATATGTTGTAAATATTTTCCACTACTC